CCTCCCCTCTCCTACCTCAGCCATTACTGATTTTGGAAATCATATTGCTCATTATCTGGGTCAAGGACTTGAGAAGAAAGGACTAAGCAGCTTGGTGCGAAACAGCATGTTCAGATGGTTGCACTAGCTCCCCTAAACCACTCACCCAAAGAAAGTAGAAGATCAACACAAAGAAAGTTCTCCTCAGCAGATGGCTCTCTATTTTTTCCCATGTCCTTTAAACTTAGCTGTTTTGAAACCCAACCAGAACTCTTCAGTAAGTAGGTGACAATAAAGCTACTTTTATTGTCCTGGTTCTTTAGTCCTTCCCCCGTCAGAACTAAATCCTTTAGGGAAAGAATAAGATACCCTTACCGTCAGTGTTTGAGTCTCTTCAATTTGTCTACAGCCTGGTAAAAGAAAAATTGCAAGCTGATTGCTTGTAATTGGATGAACAGCTGGGGCTGGGCTCTTCCCTGGGGAAGATAATTCCTCCTGCTCTCAGTGTTCCCCGAGTTCTTTGTCTAGGACTGAGGCCCTATGAGCTTTTTCCCTTTCATATTAGCATGTCCGTTGGTGTTGTCATTGTTCAGGTCTTGTTTAGGCAGCTATGTTGATAGGTATCAATTTAACTATATATGTTACAACACTTAAAGAAACAGAGGCCATGAATTTGTGAGGATACAAGACAAGGGGTGGTACATGGGAGGAGTAGGAGGGAGGAGGAAATGATGCGATTATATCATACTTTCAAAAGTAAACCAGTATTGTAAGTTAAAAACAGGCAAACCAATGATTCCTCATCAAATGAATAGATAAATAAAATACGACGTGTCCATGAGATAGGGTAATTTTAGCCTTAAGGAAATTCTCATTTCCACTCAAGCTATAACATGGATGAACATCAAAGGCATAGTACAAGTTGAATAAGCCATTCACAAAAGAACAAGCCCTATGCTACTCCTCTCATACTTGTGCCTAAAGAAGGAAAAATTACAGTGACATGAATGGAATCATGATTGACAGAGGCTAAGGTTAGGTGGTAGGGTGAATTATGGATTAATATGCAATAAGGAGTTTCGTTTTAGGATTATGAAAAAGTTCTAGGGATGGATGATGTGGGATGCCCTTCTATGTGCTGTGATTGTCTTTTGTTACCATTGGTTAATAAAGAAACTAATTTGAGCAATAGCCAGGCAGGATAGAGCCAGCCAGCCAGAAAATGCAAGTAAAGATACAGGTAAAAAGAAGGCTGAGTCTGGGATATGCCAGCATTTGCTGGGGGAAGCAAGATGGTATGTAACAAGCCACAAGCCCTATGGTAGAATGTAGAGTAATAGAAGGATTATGGATGCTTGTCTTTTTTAGTGTGTTGGTTACAAGTTGTTATGGATAATGGTCAGGAAAAAAGTGAAACAAATAAAATTAGATCAATTTCCAAACCTGGTTAATAAACTGATTCTCTATACTTTAAGTGCAGTGATTAATGCTCATAAATTAGATGCAAGACTTTGTTACTTTGAAGACACACATCAAATGCTCAAGAATGAAAATATTATCAGAATATCAAAACAGTAACTATTAAATACAAATATGCAAATGTGTTGAGGATATTGTAATATGTTATAAGGCATTAAAACTGCTTAAGTAACACAAATTACTTAGGCAGCTTCAAGTCTGTTAGATCTAAGTAGTTATTGAGGGGATTTTATCCAGACAAATCAGGCATCAAAAATTGTTGGCCACCTTTTGGGGAGCAATGGAAGGATACAGTATGTTAGACACAAAAGGGAATGAGCAGAAGTGAGCTCTTGTGATCTCAAGAGGATCCAGGGGACACCAGGAACAAGGACCTCTGAGTTGTTGGCCTCACTGACTTCCATGAAGATGACAGGTGTGGGTAGTGATTTGATTGGGCGTAAATTTTCTTTTGAGATAGGGGCTTGTGAAGCCCATGATGGACTTGGACTTGCTATGTCACCAAGGATAACCTTGAACTTCTATATCCTTGGGTACTAGATTTATAGTATTTCTGCCTTTATAATAGGTTTGTAAAGTTCTGGGCATCAAACTCATAATTTTTTTTTGCACACAAGGCCCACACCACTTTACCAGATGAGCTACGTTGCTAGCCCTGGAAAGAACGTTTTGAAATGCTCCTTTAACCCTGTAATTGAAAAGAGCCTGTCAATCATTTCTTCTGCGTCCCAGAAAGTTCTGAGGAATTGTGGGTATCTCTGGTAGCATGAGCTATTCACAAAGGCCACAATTCTGAGTGGTAATTATTATCTTCAAAGGCAGCTGTAGTCTTCTGTAGAAAACGTCCTTAGGTTCACCTTTGAATCGATCTAGTGGCAGCCAGAGATGCCTAGGTTTGCTCTTTTACTTTTCAAGGGAAGTCTCATGTAGGAAAAGCAGTTTCTATTTTAGTGAAGGTGCTTGAAATAGGCAACCATATAGGACAGTGTGGAGCAGGGCTGTTAAGGGGGCTCTGGCCCTATCTTGCTTTACATTTGAATACTGCGGGTAGTGGACATCAACCCTACAGAATAGAACTAATTCTGTATTTGTTTGCTCAAGCTACTCTGAAGCTGATTGGATGTTGACAAAATATTTTGGGCACCTTGGAAAAGTGGCATTGCATGTGTTCAAAATATTCCTAAATGTGTTGTTTGCCAAATACTTCAGAGAAAGATTCAGCTGACTTACTTCAGTTTGCTGATTTAGAAGCTTTTTCTTCAAAGTAGAAGTGATGTTTCTTTTGCTTAAATGTAGCTCTGGGCACAGATACAAATTTTCAGCATATTGTTGGCTTCTAATACTCTACATCAGCCATTCGGCAATTTCGCATCCTTGTTGTTGATTTTGTTTTCTCCGTAATGCAATACTTTATTTGTTAGGCATTCTTCCTGCTAGTGAAATACCTTTCGGAGTGTTCCCACTACTGGAACTTAAAAGCAGGTAGCTTCACTAACAGCTAGGTAGATGGGAGGGATTACCTGATAGTAGGGATTTGGGCAAATACTAGATGGAAACAAGACAGAGAGCAAACAGATAAGAGAATTTTGTCCCCTAACCCTGGGAATGGTCTATACATTCTGCTCGTGCCTGTATTTAGCTGTGTGCTGAGTAAGTTCCCCAACTACATTAATGTGTAATTGATTTGCCGCTCCACACACTGCAGGGCCCAGCGTCATCTTTGTTCCCCCCACTGTTCTTCCATTTCTTCAGTCTGCAAGTGATCTTCAGATATTCAGTACTTCGTGGTTTCATTTAGATAATGCTATTCTCACTTAGTCTTAAAAGAGGGAAATTCAGATTTCTCTATTATCTGACTAGAATCAGTCACTATCAAATCTTTGCTGTGTATTAAACTTACAGTATTCAAATGAAGTAGGTTTATATATTGATCATAAAGTTGATAATTATTTGATGTGGGATGTCCTTCTATATATGTGTTGCTTTTATTGGTTAATGAATAAAGCTGTTTTGGCTTATGACAGGGCAGAATATAACCAGGTTGGAAGAGGTATAGAGAGAGAGAGTAGGCAGAGTCAGAGAGATGCCCTGTAGCCACCGAAGGAGTCAGACACCAGAACCTTACTGGTAGGCCACAGCCTCATGGTGATACATAGATTAAGAGAAATGGATTAATTTTAGATGTAGGAGTCAGTTAATAAAAAGCCTGAGCTAATAGGCCAAGCAATGTAATTAATAAGTTTCTGTATGATTATTCAGGTCTGCGTGGCTGGGAATGAAAGAACAGTCTTTGTTTTACAACTATTGACAGCTGTACAAATGTCATAAATATGTCCTGAGGAGTGTTTTGTTTTGTTCCTACTTAGTCACTAACTGCCATAATCTCCTCAGGAATGGGTGCAGCCTGTCTAGAAATTACCTACCCCTTCCTCACAAGAATTCTGGTTGGTTTGGTTTTGTGTAAGTTGCGCAGTGGTGAAAACAGCTGCTGTGGGTGTCTGAATAGCCCTGTCCTGTTCAGAAGGCAGCTATACATAACTCCCATCGTCCAGTTCTTTCATTCTTTTTATGCCTTCTTCTTCAATGTTGCCTGAGAACTTGCTGACACAGATATCGACCTACTGACGCTGAACACTCAGCTATAATTCTTAGCACTCTGACTAGGGTTATTCAACAATATGACCATTTGGCAAAATAACAATAGCAAGGTGTTATGGGGGTACGGAGACATTTGAAGGGGGAAATGGGAGTAAATGTATCATGTTTCATTGTATATATGTATAAGATTCTCAAAGAAAAATATAAATAAATATATCCAGAAAGAACCTCAGTGCTGTTTAGATAATTATAGGGATAGCGTGGTATGAAAGATTTTTTTAAATGCCCACTGCTAATAGATGAAATATTTTCTCTCTTATTGTAGGATACAGGTAGCAGTTTTGCTTACTTTGAGATAAAATAACATATTTTCTTTGTGTCCTAGATAGTTTTCTGGATGAATATCCCCTTTTAAAAGTTGAAATACATCATCTCAAATAACCTTTCAAATTCCTACCCACCTATAGATAGACACTCCTAGGTATTATGCAAAACCTGTTCCTGTTCAAAAACTACAATTATCCCTAAAATTATGATTTTTAGGATCTCATTTAAGAAAAGTTGAAGGTTTGGATAGGTAGGCCTTTCCATTTCATAATCTCCAAAGCTCACATTTAAAATGTATTCATAATTTTCCGGGAAGTGGTGGTGGACACGTTTAATCCCAGAACTTGGGAGGCAGAGGCAGGCAGATCTCTGTGAGTTCGAGGCCAGCCTGGTCTACAAGAGCTAGTTCCAGGACAGGCTCCAAAGCTACAGAGAAACCCTGTCTTGAATAACTCCCCACTTCAATGTATTCATAATTTACTGACATGCAGAGTTGTTTAGGGCTTGTGGAAGATAAAAAGTCTTGGATCTCAGAGATAATTTGATTAACTTAGAAGAATCAGAATCTATATATTTTAGAGGCCAGATTGATCAGATGTTAAAATATCTGTTTGCAGTCTCAAGACATGAAGTGCCACAAGGTGGGATGAGAAGAGGAATACAGAGGTCAGCAAGAGGCCACACCCTCTGCAGGTGAGGTGAAAGTTCTGATCCTCAGAATGCATTTGCAAAGAAGAGGTGCTAGCATGGGAATCCTTCCAGATAGCATGGGTGAGCAGAAGTGAACAAGGCTTATAGAGTGGCCAGGAGGAAGGAACTGTTTCAGATGCATGTACAAAAGCAAGGATGGTATTACACAACACAAAGTACCCAGAAGGATTGCAGAAGTGAAATCACATGTGAGAACCTTGGTAAAAAGGGCATCAGTTATGTGAACAAGGGAAGTGTCTCTAGTCTTTGAATGCTGGAGGATCTTAGCATTGATTATATGCCAAGTACAGCAATTTAACAAGGAAGGTATTTTCTTTATCAACACCAAGCATGGAATAACAGCTGTCTTTTCCCCTTTGTGGATGAAATGATGCCTGGTGCAGTATGTTTTCCAGAATGTATCTTCGGTAGGTGGCACAGAGTTCTCTGCTGTGCTTGGGATAGTGCATATGTTACTACGTTCTTCATCAGGTTAGCATTATGGAGCTAGTGAAACTGCTGGTGCACATTATTCACTAGAGTTTCATCAGCTCTAAGAAGATATTCATTAATTTTTATTATGTTAGAAACAGCATCATGGCACCACTGTGACACTGGTATTGATTAGAACAGAATTGGTGAGGTGTCCTGGAACTGACTTATCTAAAGATGTTTCATGAGTGTGCCAACTCATTAATTTATTCATTAATTCACAAATCAACTATTCATGGTTTGTTCCAACACCTGCGAATATGCCCCAACAAGCCCTTTCCTAAATATTAATGAAGGATTTGTCATTTAATACTTCAAAATAATTATTTAAGATAACTTCCAAATGTAGACTTAATCCTTGGAGATCATAATCTGCCAACCGTCAAGTAGTTATAGAGGGACAGAGGTTCTAGGGACTTACAAGAAATCTCAAGAAAGGGTTGCTGGCAACTGATGCTTACTTCATGCATTTCTGAGGGAGGGTCTGGCTGCCTGCCAGCATTCTGTGTTTATCTCTGAATCCTTAGAATGTAGTCTGAGCACACACTTTCATGTTTATCGAACTAAGCCAATATGAGAGAGATGTGAACTGGCTAACAAATTGAAAATTCTTGCTCAGGAGGCCCAGGACACATGTTAAGCACTATTAACATTGTATACATACACACACAAAGCTAGCTAGCTAGCTATATAAATAAATAGATAAATGATAGATAGATGATAGATGATAGAGAGATGATAGAGAGATAGGTAGATAGATGATAGAGAGAGATATAAAGATAGATAGAGGATAGATAACAGAAAGATAGATGATAGAGAGATAGGTAGGTAGGGAGGTAGATAGATAGATAGATAGATAGATAGATAGATAGATAGATGATGGATGGATGGATGGATGGATAGATAGATAGATAGATAGATAGACAGATGGATAGATAGATTCTGACTGGTGAATGAAGACATACTAATTAGAAATGCAGTACATCTTTGCTACAAAGCCAGGTCAGGTGCTTTCAGGATTGATGAAACCTGTGTGTTAGTAAGAATGATACCAAATGAGAGACTGTTGAATTTTGATACATTTAACATGCATACTGACCATCTATTTTCATTCATCCCACTTTTTGCATCTTCTCTTAGCCCTTAAGAACATCAATTGCAATAACATCAGCTGCAGTTCTGTCATTTGGCAAGTGTATCCCTGTGACTGGTAGGAGATGATGATCCCTCCACCATGTTGAATATTGCATGTTGGGAGAGAGAAAAATAGCTGGAACTGGTCAGTTCTTAGCACCACGAATGTTATATTTTTTAATTGAAAATTGATTTTTTTGTTCATACAATACATTCTTATAACCATTTCTCCTCCCTCAACTCCTTTCAGATCCTCCACATATCCCTACCCATCGAAATCTACAGCCTTCTTTTCGTTCTCTCATTAGAAAAAATCCCAGATATCCAATAACAATAATAACATAAAATAAAAACAAAGCAGGGCAGGAAAAAACAGACAAACAGAAAAAAAAGAGCCAAGCAAGAAACTGTTCTGAAGGTTAAAAGTTCAGAATTGTTGAGGTGTCAGGAGGTTTGGTTTCCCTTGAAGTCAATCTCTTTGACTCCCACATTGTTGTACATCATACGTATGCATGTATCCCTGTGGCTTTCCCCCTATCTTTATAAGGACACCAATCAGACTGGAGTAGGGAACCATTCCTATGACCTCATTAAACTTGATTATTTCTTTTGAAGTCTGTCTCCAAAAGCAATCACATTTCAAGGTCCTGAGTGTTAGGATTTCAGCCCATGACTCTAGGACAAGGGCATGAAGATGGGGTGGGGTTGGGGACTATACAACTTCATAATATCGTGGCAAAATTCATCTTGCTTTCTGTTTACAGTGTGCAGATATGGGAAAACTGTCAAGAGAACTGTTTTCATATATTGACACTTTACTACTGTTGTGCTTCTCAGAAAGAGTTACCATTCACTTTCAATTTATCCCAACTCGGAATAAAAGGCCATAAGTAAGACCTCATTGTTATTATTGGGTTTGCTGAGGTAGGTGTTGTCTTGTTGGAGGAAGTGTGTCACTGTGGGGGTGGGCTTTGAGGTCTCTTTTGCTCAAGCTTTGCTCAGTGTTATAGACAGTCTACTTCCTGTTGCCTTCTGATCAAGATGTAGTCAGCACCATGTTTGCCTGCATACTGGCATGCACCCCAACATGATGATAATGGACTGAACCTCCAAACTGTAAGCTGCCATGTCAATTAAAATGTATTTTTTAAAATAAGAGTTGCTGTGGTCATGGAGTCTCTCTACACATCAATGGAAACCCTAACTAAGACAGTTACTATTTCTGCATAACCTGTGATGTGCAGTACATTGTCAAACAAATGAGTGTAACCTAAAAAATTGTTTGAGCACTGACTGAACACACACAGAAACATACACACACACAGATACAAAACACACACACACACAAACACACACATACACACACATGCACATGCACACAAATACACCCCAAACCCAAAATAGAGTCCAGGGTCTTAAGTAATTAAAACACATTGCCATTACACCCAGAAGACAGTATGAATTTAGGTGGATGAATCTATGGCTAATGAAACTTCTAGCTGCTAATAGTTGATATAAATATATTTGCAATTTCAAAATGATTTTTTAACAACTGTTTTCTCACAAATTTCTTCTAAATCTGGCAGAAGTGGCCTTCCTTGTCAGTAATAACTATGTGCATTGATGCTTCAATAGTTTGCTTTAATTGTAATTTGCATTTCTCACTGTTGTTTACTTGTGATTCATCTGGGGACTGTGTGTTTTCCACCAAATATTTTATTACTGCGATCCTTTAATAACGCATTGAAACACTGAGCTATAGCATCTGCTTATTGAACTCCATTTCCTAGAACGAGAATGGTGACAGTCAGTGACAACGCATTATCTTAGCAGACACAGAGGCCCTGTCTTTTGGATTCAGTTGGTACAGTGTACACTGTAAAAACAAGGATGCTATGCTTCCTCCAGCAGCTCCGTGGAAACAGTGCTTTTGGATTTGAGGTTGAAAAGTTTCCCATGTGAAAATATGTAATATTATGATTCAAGCAACATGTTCTATTTTTAACTCAGCATTAAGAATTTGCTATTCATGAAATATCTAACCTGATTTTTAAAAATCAATGAATTTGATTATATCTTGGAAGCTCATTTTGTTCTCTCTAGAGTTGTCATAGTAACCAGGAAACCAGGTGCTATGGAAAGCTATGATTTCAGACTTTCACTCTAGTTATTTTTTTGTATGATCCAGAGAGAAAATATTGTAATGGTGCTTGGCACAAAAATTATATATATGTAAAGAAGTATATATATATATGAACATATGAACTTACATATATAATAGAGACGAGAGAGAGAGAGACCTTATATATATACCTGGCTAATCTGAAACTTGTTATGTAGAGCATCTGCCTGAGAGTTTACAGTTATTCTCTTGCTTTTGTCTCACAGTTGATAAAATTAGAGAATGTGCCAGCATGCTTAGTACAAAATTGTATGATCCTGTAGTGGTCATGGAGGATTCAGAGTCTGTAGACTGCTGCCCTAGTGTGTTGGGTTCAGGTTTACATTTTCATATGTACATTCCTGTTCAATGTCTCGGACTTATTTTCCCATGAATGGTATGCTATTAGGATTGTTTCCTGGGCATTGAAATATATAGAACTAATAATATAAAATCCAAGTGACTGAGTATATTAAATGACTTTTACATTGATTACACCGTTCTATACAAAACCTAACTTTAGTTAATTATCCTACCTCTGTGATGACATGAACTGCTTGTTGACTCAGTGTACATTGGTATAAGATACCCAAATCTGATTGTCATTGGCTTGTCTGTCAGTTAGATGACTGGCAGCTTTCTCACACAGCATGCAAATTCCCATGGTTCCTTTCTCTTAACCCTTTACACTTCCACACTTCCTTCCTTTATCCTGCTTCTCTCCCTCAGTCTTCCTGTTCTCCTTGTACTTCCCCCCTCCCACTTTCCCTGTCTTCCTTTCACTTCAGGTATTTTATTGTGAAAATTGTAATTTCATTACACCTGCTACTCTAACCTCTCCAACATTCCACTGCTTCTACTTTTCAGAGTAGCTCCCTTCTACCACATCTCACCCTATCCCCTCCTGTCATCATCTCTGTATGTTTCAGATAACACAATGCTATCCCTGGGTCTTTACATCAGGAGGCCACTTGCTTCATAATGCTCTGTTCAAAGTAGAGAAAGTTTCTGTGAAACCTGATGAAAATATAAACCTGATGAAAATACAGTAGTATTATATGAGTATACACACAGAGACTGAGACTAGAAACAAATGAAGCCCATGAGAATTAGCAGAAATCATGAAGATTTTAATCACTGTCTATGTGGAAAGCATCCTGGACCAATTATATCTTCATAAATAGGTGCAAGGGAGCGATAATGAACACCTCAAGCTACAAAAAGAGTAAACATTCAAGCAGATTTTTGCCAAAGGCATATCCGAACATTGAGAAAGAGCTAGTCCTATACGAATGCATCTTGTCAAATGTATCTTGAGAAATCCAGCATATTTGGAATTGTCCTAGCTTAAAATTTAAATACATTGAATCTATGGGAGCATATTTCATAGTAAAGGCCAATTTGGAGTTGAAATCTATTGTAATTTAGAGGTAAGAAAGAGAAGAATTTCGAGGATGTTAGGCATATCTCTACTACTGAAGCCAGATATCAGTGAGAAGGATTTAATCGGTTCCTTGATTGAGAAATGAGACACTGCTGAAGTCCTGTGCATTTTTAAAATTGAATTTTCAGGCCTGGTGAGGTGGCTCATGCCTGAATCCCAGTATTCAAGAGTTAGGGACAGTTCAATTTCTCTGGACTATATGACAGTTTCTAGGACAGGATGACACAAAGAAGTCATGTCTTCAAGAGAAAATGTTTTCAAGTCAACAAAGAGATTGATGGGTTTCATTACAGCATATTCATGCGTGTATGTCATTATACAGTTTTTTAAAATTAATCCTCCTCTCCTAGTCTACCCTGTTCTCATTGCTCTCCTCTTGATGGTACCCTCTCTTTTTCCAAATGAGTTGTTCTTTCTGTTTTCATGTCATGTGAGTTTCATTTCCTGCTTTCCTTTTTCCTCCCTCTCCTAGCCCTCTTTCTTCTTTCATGACCTACATACACATAGGCACCTATACACATATACACTCACACACATACATACACATAAATGTTTGAATCTGGGATATAAATATGAGAAGAAAATGTAGTATTCAACTTTCTGAGTCTGATTTATTTTGCATAGCATAATTATTTTCAGTTGCATCCATTTTCCTTCAAATGTCACAAAACTTATTTTTTGATTGACTAAATCATAGTTTTATTAAAAAAATTTAAAGAACCTTTTTACTATTTTCCATATTGCTAGACCATTTTGATTAACCACTAACAATGTATGACAAACTCATTTTTTTATGGCTAAATAATTTCCATTGTGTATATCTGCTGCTTTTTTTCTCTCATTCATCTGTTGCTGGATGCCTAGTCTATTTCGACTTCCTGACTGCTGTGAACACTGTAGTTATGAACTTGGATGTGAATTTTTCTCTGTGGTACACTGATTTCGATTCTTTGGGGGTATGATACCCAAGAGTTGTGTAGCTGGGTCACCTGCTAGTCTGACTTTAGCTTATCGAGGAACCTGCATGTTGACTTCCATAGTGGCTGCCGCAGTTTCCAGTCTCACCAACTATGATTTGGTCTCTTTGTTCTTCATGTCCTCTCCAGCATTTGTCCTGTATCATCTTGAGGATAGCCATTCCGACTGGGGATGAGCCAGAATCTCAAAGCAAGTTGCTTTGCATTTCTGTTACGATCAAAGATGTTAGACACTTTTCAATTTTTTTTTGCTATTTTTATTTTGTCTTTTGAGAAATGTCTATCGATTCCATTATCCCCATTATTGGTTGCGTTATGCAGTTTTAGGTGTAGTTTTTAGTAATTCTTTAGGTATTATACATATAAGTTTTCTACCTGCTGTATAGTTGGCAAAAACATTCTCGCATTATGTAAGCTGTCTGTATACTGCAAAAATGTTTAGAGTCCAGTTTTGAACCCTTGGGATTGCTTCCTGTGATATTAGATGTTTTAGGAAAGTCTTTGCCTATGTTTATATCTTGGCTTATTTTATTTATGTTTTTCCTCCAGCAATTTCAAAGCTTCAAGTATTACAGTAATGTCTTTGATCCATCTTCAACTGACTGTGCAGAGTGAGAGATATGGATCTAGCTTAAGTCTTCTGTGTGTAGGGAGTTGGTTTGTCAAATATCATTTGTTGAAGATGCCTTTTTCCAGTGTGAATTTTGACACATATACCAAAAACTAGATGTCTGTAATTGTGTGGGTTTATTTCTGAGTTTTTTTTGTTCTATTTCATGGGTTTTGATGACTATCTTCATACCAATACTATAGTGATTTTGTTACCATGGAACAGGAGTGTAATTTGAAATCAATATCATGATTCTTCTAACACTACTCTTTCTGTTTACTCTTTTCCGCTTTGTCTATCAAGAATCTTTGTGCCTCCATATGAATTTTAGGGTTTTTTTTAGTTCTATGAGGAATGTTACTGGAAATCGTACTTGTTATTAAAATTTTTAATTTTATGAAGGTCTATGTTGAACTTTAGTTCTATGAAGAATGCTATTGGAAACTGAAGTTTCTTTTTGACTTTTAGTTTGAAGGAGCTATCTAAAGATGAGAATGGGGTCCCGATGTCACCCAATATTATTGTGTCTGGGTTCCTATGAACTTTTATGCCTAAAATTATTTTATGAAATCAGGAAAGAATGTACATATTTACAGTTGTATCTTGATGAATTGTTCCCATTACTAATATGTAGTGTTTTTAATCTCTTCTGACTCATTTTGATTTGAAGTCTGCATTACCCATTAGCAGAATTGCTATGGCAGCTGTTTCCAGTTCTTGGTTATTTGTCTGATAGATCATTATCCTTCAGTTCTTGGTCTTTGGATGTCTTTAAGTGAACTGCGTTTCCTAAATTGGCAGGTAGTTGGATCTTGTTTGTAATTTGGTTATCCAGCTGTGTCTCTTCCTTGGTGAGTTGAAACTACTTATGTTCAAAGCTAGTATTCTCTTAGCAGTCTCATTAGCTTCTCTATCAGGGATACATG